GGGGGGGGGCTGGTGTTCAACGACAACCCCGGCGGATTTTGCCGCTACCACCAGTCCGAGCTTCACACCAACGAGCAGTGTCGTCTCCAGCAGCAACTGCGGCGCGCGCGTTCGAGAGAGGGCGCCGCGGAACACCGCTCGGGCGGCGGCAGCCTCGGTGGCGGCGGTAGCCAGCGAGGGGGTAGACCGCCGCTGGGGCCAGGCCGCGGTGGCGGCCGATGGGTGAGGCTAGAAGGGCAGCAGCACCACACCGGTCATGGTGGCGGTGGCTGGAGCCAAGCCTCACCCCCCCCGAGACCTCTTCGTGGACGTAGTGAAGGAGATTTTGTTTTTGAGGCAGATTTGGCGTTTCATGTTGCCGCAGGTCGGCATGCCGTGCATCCCCGTCTTCGAGGATAACCAGGGGGCGATTCAACTAGCGCAGAACCCCATCTCAAACTCAAACTCGAAGCACATAGATGTAAGGCACCATTTTCTCAGGGAACTGGTAGAGAGGAAGGAAATTTCGGCCATCCACGTGCCGTCGCCGTACCAGCATGCAGACTTTCATACATACGAAGAGTTTGTCGAAGGATGCTTTCGAACCTCACCGTGATTTGTGATGAATTTGGCATGAACATTTTTTTGTTTTTCTGATGGATTGTGTTTTGGTCTTGTTCTGTTTCCCGTTTTGTTTCATTTCCCGCGCCAAGTATTTGTCAAGCGCGATGCAGCATTCATGTTTCATTGAATTGTTTTCTTCTCTTATATTATTCTGGTCAAGTCTTCATGGTATATATTGTGGGAAAGACGTCTTTTGGTTGAGATGTCGGGTGTTAGCGAAGTTTTCAGTGAGAAACTGTTGCGAGCAGGGGGGATGTTAGATATACTCGCAGCAGTATCTGGTCGTGAGGATCCCAGGGGGACAAGTGTCAGGAATTTCGTGTGTTGAAGGGTACCACCGGCGCAGTCACGGGGACCCTTTGGGCGTGGTCGGTGCGATGATGAGGAAGGCTTGCGTGCGTGCTGCGCACTTCCTCTTCTTCTTCTTCTTCCCTCTCTCTCCACCACCACCACCGTCTCTCTCCAATCAAGTTTCCTTCTCCCACTCTCTCTCCAACTCTCTCTCGCCCTCTCTCTCTCGGCCTAACACGGCCGACTACCCAGTGCCCCAAAGTAACGTCCAGAACGTGCTTGCTGCACCCCGCGTAGTTTACCTTTCAGCACGCCACGGTATCAACACATCCAATGGAGCAGGGAGCGGGGATGTCGTGGTTGCGTCTGGTGAATTATCATATCATGAAAGGTCGGGGTGGGTCGGAATGGAACGGGTGCAGAGAATGAAAGAACAACAACACAAACAGAAACGCCTGCAACGAACACGACGGGCGGGGGGAGTAGGCTCAATTCAACCATGCACAAGTTGCTCGCTCTTAAGGCATCGCGTTCTGTTCGATCGACTGTCAAATTTTTATTCCAAAAGTCAAATAGCACGCTCAACAATAACAACAACAACAACAACAACAACACATACTGTCTTACCTCCGATCCTCCCTGGAGAGCCCGAGATCCGTGGGACGACGAGTGAAAGCCGGGGTGCAATAGCACCAAGTACACGGGGAGGGGAGAGGGTTAGTTTCAGGAACAATATTTCCACGCAATACAACAACACAAACAGAAACGCCTGCAACGAACACGACGGGCGGGGGGAATAGGCTCAATCCAACCATGCACCAGTTGCTCGCTCGTAAGGCATCGCGTTCTGTTCGATCGACTTTCAAATTTTCATTCCAAAAGTCAAATAGCACGCTACAACAACAACAACAACAACAACAACACAACTACAGACTAACTCGTCGAGTCATGCTGCTTACCTCCTCGCTTCCTGTCGTCGTCGGTGAAGGTACCACCTATCTTCTGGTTTAGGCTGATGGATCCCCGGCTGAAAGCTAGACCCCCTAGGAAGCGGAGCGGTAGGATGGCCTCAAGTAGCTCCCGCGAAGGTCTGTGCTCGTCGCCTCTTCGCCATATTTACGTCTCCCATGTGACTGTCTTCAGTGCCCCACCACCCGCCAAGACCAGCCCTGCCGGTACCAACCAGGCGGGTCCGTCGTTTGCTACTCTTCCGTACTTCTGGCGAGGCTTTTTTGCTCTCTCCTCGGTCGGTGGATTGATCAGACCCGTGCCGTACTTTGCAGCTGATTGCCACCCACCCTCGCCAGAAATCATCAACCTCAGGAAACGACGATCTCCGAAGTCGTGTTCGTTGATCTTTTTCCGGTAAGCACCACACAGCTGGGCCCCAATGCCGATGACGTTTGCCCACATGTCCACCATTCGGTTCGCTGCCGCCCGGTCCGAAAACACGTATACGGTGGCGTAGTTTGTCTTTTCCTTGAAGGGACTACCGAGGTTCAGCCGTTCCACACCGCTTTTTTGCAGCTGCGAGAGGCTGAGCTCCCTCTCGCGCATCGCGTCTAGTGCAAGCGTTCGCCCTAGGGTGTACTTGCTGCAGGCAACCTTAAGAACATCTTCAGGTGTTGCCCCGGCCATGCCCATGGGTTCGGCGGCACCTTCGCAAATTTCCTCAAATTTAACGCGTTGACTACACGAAAACGACGGATCATCCATGGCCACCTTCACTCTCTCGATTAACTCAAGCTGCCATGTTTCCAGGGTGGATTCGGAACCCGCCTTTCGCACAAGAAGAAGAGGAGAGGGGGCACCGGAACGGAAGGGAAGAGCACTGGTTGATTGCCCATAGGGAGGGTGGGCTCAAGGATATTGAGTGGAGGCGAACGGTAGCAGTGAGTGCCAACCACTCGAAAGAAAGAACCCTTTTTTGACCGGCAGGTTGGCTGAACCATACGACACAGAATCGATCATAAAAAGTACTTTCACGTCCAATATCTTGAAATACTAAACTAACCTTGGTCCTCCCCGCCCCGCTCGCGATCACCGGCCGCCTCGTACCGTCGGCACCGCCGCCCTCGCCTTTGTTCGTGACGTCGACAGTGCCTGCGCTGCTCGAGCCGCCGCCGCCGCCGTTGCCACCCAACGACAAGAGGCTGTTCTTCGTCGCGGCCTCGATGTCACCAGACTGCGAGGGAACGGAAACTGTCACATTATAATCGTGTCGCTGTGCTTTACCAGTAGTGCCAAACAGATGATCTATGCACGATAATCCCGCCGATGACGACGAACGTTGAACGTGCCACGAAATATTTGGCTGGTCCCGACACAGTACGTCAAAGGGAAGGGGAACGAATTACTTCCTCCTTGGTTTCTTACATCGAAGCCCGGACTTGGGGGTGTTGTGCGGGCCCACTGCCCGGTTGATCGTTGGCCGCTCGGGCTTTGCCCTTCCCTCGCGACCTCTCGGGTGTCGGCACATCACCATCCCCTCTGTCGTCGGCCNGGCGGGAAAATATGAAATCCTCGCGAATTTCAGGTATCGTGGTAATTACAGAAGAAAAAAAGGAATGTAGGTGAACATTGACAGCAGCATATCTGCTGCTGTCTGCTGTACGGCGAGGACGTGGCCACTAACCAAGTACCCGGCCGGCGTGAAATAGACGCCAATCAACTAACGCCATCCAACGCCAACTCGGAATGGAACAAGCCCGACCCCATCGAAGCCCCTGATCTTGCCACGTACCCCGAGAATGTCCATGGAATACAGTGACGACGGCGGAGTCGATATTTCACCCCGCCCTCCTTCAGCGGCAGGTTCTACTGACGTGGCCCTGCCGTTGCACGGTTCCATCCACCCGCCCCGTTGCCGGCACTTGGCGATGGTCGCTTGCCCCCGGCACGAAAATGTCCACCGACGTCAGGGAGCCCCCCCCAAACGGGTCTGTGAGGGGCAGGGGCTGGGGCAGGGGCTGGGGCAGGGGCTGGGGCAGGAGCCGGGTCTGGGGCAGGGGCAGCCTGGGTGCACGCGAGGATTTAGTATCAATAAAGTGCTCTAAGGTTGTTACTACCATCGTAGACATTGGTCTCGGTGTGGATGTGACAGATGCCAAAAGTTGCTGCTTGCTACTGTCGCGTGCGAGTACTGCTCTACACGCTAGCAGTCAGTGGATGTGTGTGGGGGGGGGGTGGGGGGGGGGACTATATATGGGAAGGGACCAACCGGTCTACTATCCGTACGCATTTCTACCGCTACATGTTTACCACAGGCACCGAAGGTCGAGTTAGAGTAGAGTAGAGTCAGTGACAACTCTGGAAATTGGCACTTTCAGGTACTCCGAGTCATTTGAGAGAGTAAGTTGACTCGGAATTAACCCTCTTAAATGGCACCCTGCGTTTTTGAAAACAAAATATTGGACCCAAAACACAAAATTGAACCAAAACGGTCAACTTGGTGACACAATAGGATGTGTCAACATTTTGGTCAAATAAAATGTCGGCACATTCGAGTCTAAAGCTAAAAACACCTCTGGGTGGCGTTCTAACCCACGTAGATTAGAATCGGTAAGGCTTACGGCAGGTTGATTCAGTATGTGTGAGGGAACGCACAGCAGCAGCATGCACGCGTTCGGTGAGAACTCTCATGAATGAATCAGCAGCACCTACCCGTTTCCTTCTTCTCATATCTCTAGCACATCCGCAAAGCAGAAGAGCAAACAAAAGGGAGCACGTATCAAGCTGCAGTTGCCTGTAACTATCTTTGTGTTAATGTATCACAATGCTGCTGCTGCTGTGTGTGATAGAAGCAGCAACAATACATGGTATACAATAGACCATATGTTCATGTTGTTGTGTACAACGCACACACACGGCGTTTCGCCAGTACATACAACAGTCTACATCAGGAGTGCTGCTGTAGCAGTGTAGTAGCAGTCAGCAGTACAGCGGTAGTCACATGGTGTATGTGCACAAGAGGTGTCGGCAAGGTGTATGCAATGTAATACGCAGTACACAGCGGTGTGTAGTAGGTGAAGGAGTAGTACTCGTATCATACAGGTGTCGACAATTCGACGATGCGTGCTAAAGAGGGTTAAGGGCCGTTTTAAACGGACCGACTTTTTGTCAAAAATTTTGAAAGTGTCAAAAAAATGGAACCTGTATGTAGGCGTTTGTCCATTTTTTTCAAAAATATTTGGAACGAAGTTGGGCGCGAAAACTTTGCTCCACTTCGTTCCAACTTTTTGACAACCCTCTCAAAGTATTTGGAGCACTTTCCAAAGTACCCTTGCAGAGGCACGCGAGGGCTGCTGCGTCTGCACCACGAGTGCCCCTCACCGTAGAAAGTCAGCTAGGGTTGTGTGTGAGTCATCTGTCGCTGTCGCTATTGCTATCGTCGCTGTTGCCAACGTTGACGATGCTGTCTGCTGTTGCTGTGTCGTCCGAAAAACGACGGTCCGCCATGATGGCTTGAAGTTGTTGCTTCGCGTCCGCCGCTTTGTTTTGTCCTTTTCCCGGGGGGGTAGGAGCAGTGGTTGCCACCCCGAGCCGGCGGCCTGCTCCATCCTCGCTCTGAGTGTTGGTGGCGGCAGCGCCTCCCGTGGTAGCATGAGTGATCCCCGAGATGCCAGGCAGCAGCACTATCTTGCTGGAGAGCAAGCCTCCACCGCCTACGGCGGCACCGAGAGAGCCCGTCTGCTGGAATTTCGCCGGGTTTTGGTCTGCCGGCCACGCTGGGTGGTCGTGATATCCATGTCGGTGTCCATGATGTCGTGTTTTCCGCGGTTTGTGTTGTGTCGTGTGTGTTGTCTCGAAGTGAGCGCTACAACTCACGGACGGCGTCATTTTTTTTTACACAAGTTGCACAAGTCCACGTCACACGTTTAAAATGACTGCACACAGGTTCCAAGTTTTTGAAAGACAAATGTCGAAAATTTTGACGAAAAAGTCGGTCCGTTTAAAACGGCCGTAACTAGAGTGGTAGTCGACCTTCGGCGCCTGTGATACTACACCAATGAACTTTGAATTTTGAATGTTTCACAACAACAACAGCAGGTACGGCGGTATCTACCTTCGAGAAGTAGCTGGAGATGCTCGATCTCCCCTTCATGATCTTGCCTGTAAAGGGTTTGCTCTTCTTGAGCTTGGGTCCCATTGCTGTTGTTGTAGTGTTGTACGAAGCACGAGGGGAGGGCGATGGGAAGTGGGTAGACTTAGCGGGACCGTTTGGATGGGATGTATCTTGATGTCCGTGAATTGAAGCGACTTGCACCGGTACACGAGGCAAGGGGTAATGGCATTATCGATCTCCATTCACTGCACTCGACCTCGGGACAGCAGGAGGGGAGAGAAAGAGAGAGACGACACAAGAAACGGCTACCTCTGGCCATGTACCTGGAGGGGTGAGGGGCATATGGGTCTAGTTTTGACCTCGAAATCTTCGGCACCTCGACGCCGACGGCATACATACACATGGCACATGTTTGCGGCCTACGCCACGTATTTATCGGGTGAGACTGTTTTGGTGATGTA